TAGCTCCAAGGCGGCACCCAATGGGCCGGGAGATTCGGCGGCGGAACTAGTGGATAATGCGCTAGAGCACACCCGGGCACTAGCGGAAGCCGCGGCGGGGGAGTTGGCGGCGGCCACCGAGGTCGGCCTCAGCAGCGAGGAAATGAACGCCATTGCCGACATGATCTACAACCGCTTCCGCAAGGGCAAGGACAAGGAGTAGTCACCTAGTCGGGCCCGGCCGCTAAGATGTATCGGGCCAACTCGGATGCAGTAATTTGGACTCAATTTGGACGCCCGAGTAGCGTAGTCTGTTTTGAGTCCGGTGCATACATGCAAACATTATGTGCTCTGCACAATTCGCCATGATCGAGTGGCACATCATGCTCAGTAGCTGAATTGCTTGTTAGCGTCCATGTAGCATTAGGGTTTGCATACCTTGCTGGACATGACTCGTAGCCGTAGCAAGTTGCGGAGTCAAAAAACAAATTCCTGGCCACGCCGGAGACCGTGCTCCACGGCCATGGTGGCTAAGGGCGTTAATAAATTGGAAGTTACCATCTGCTCACTCTTGCATTGCTGGGCTATACCATACGTTTAATCTTGGGTTCGTAAGCGTGCCAGATGTTCGAGACGAACTGGTTGTATTATACTCACAACGTCACGCGACTTTGGTTGACATACCAATGAATCCCAGAGATCTGCATGGCTGGCCCATTCCAGAAAGTATGACCATACCTCCTCGAAGCCATGCAGACTACTTGCTACATTCGACTATTACCCTGCATGTGAACGACGGGATGGCAAACAAAGTCACTGACGACATCAAGAGCACGTATACAACTGCGGGTTTACTTGATCATGTATTCAGGCAGGATCTCCTGATTGGTTGACATTATTGCTTCAAATGCCTAGACGGGAGATCAGGTTAATCTTTTGAAATTATAGATGTACAACAGCTGCCACAAGACACAGGCAGCCAGCCAGTTTTTGAACTTGCAAAGACGCGATCGAGCTCCTAGCTACTTCAACATACAAAGTGTCCACTTAAAAGAAACCGACAGCTCTTCGCTAGCTAATCGTCCAAATCCCAGCCCTCGATGTCCTCGTCCGTCGCTCCTGGATCGGCACTTGTGGTCGTGTCAAGGTCGCCAAAAAGGTCGTCCACTTCGTCCGCCTCAGTCTGCTTCAAACCTTTCTGCGCGTCCATCTTACCCTCTTCTGCGTCTTTCTTATCTACATTCTTAGACGTTGAAGGTGCAGCTGTCTCCCCGGCTTCAGCCTTCGGAGTCACCACTTTCGATGGGACCGTGTTAGAGTCGCCAGCTTCCGCTCCTACCTCGCCCGCAGCCTGCGTCATGTGAATTGTCTTCTTAGAGGCAAGCTCTTCACTAAAATCCATTTGCAGAACCAGTCAAAATCAGTACGAAGTGCTACCCAAGCATGATTGAGACTTGCTTGTCAGGGACAGAGCACAGGTAGCATACTGTGGCTATCCGTCTATGCCGCACAAAAGGGCTACAACTTGGGTCTCCAAAGGAATACGCCCTCACGGGGACACTAGCTTGCTTGCAAAGCAACGTTTTAGAGGAGCCTTTTCCCCGTCCTATGCACCTCAGAGAATCAGCGAAACTACCAGCACAGAGAGCGTCGATATCCGCCGTTCACATGAGCAAGCAAGCGCCAGCGAAGCAGCAATCCATTGCCAGGGTCGTACACCCTACCTTTACGCTCTCAGCCTTCGCTTGTACCGCTGACCCGGCCTTTGGCCTCGTCCCTTCCGGTTCCGCTGGAGAAGCGCCAAGTTCGCCGCTTTTCGTCTTGGCCGAAACCGGCTTTCCGGCCCCAGTCACAGGCGCCGGCTGCCGGAGCGAGAGGTCGATGTGGGGCCGCTTGAGGCCCTGAAACTGCTCCCGAAGTGAGGCGACGGAAGCGAACGATGCAGCAACGCTCTTGAGAACGTCCTGCTGCTGCCTGCAAGAACAGGAAAGTCGGAAGTTACTATCAAGTCATGATTGCTAGGACCAAGCTAACAAGGGCCTTTGAAATGGCCCCTCACGGTCGTCTCAGGTAGGCTTCGTCGAATGCAGAAAGAGCACAAGACGGCCCAAGAGGACAAGCGAAGTATCCACCTGCAACGGAGAGGTGTTAGACGTCTGTCCAGGAGATTGCCATCTGTGGTTGACGATCGAAGACAAGAACAAGGATAAGTAGCTCAATATCGCAATAACCGACGGAGCAAGCTCAGTGACTCGGTTACCCTTTCGTCCAATCCGAACGAGCAGAACACAAAGTTTTGAAAAGCTCACCGAGCTGTGAAGATTGAGCAACCAGCAACATCTGGCTGAGCACGTCTATTCCGGGATCTTTGCAAAGGAAAGCACGCCCATCAAGGTGCTATACAGCACAGGTCCGAATCCTCACTTCGCTTCTTCTGCCATTTTGACCTGGGCTCCCACATTGTCCTTCACCTTCTCCAGGCCCGCCAACAGCTTCTTTACGCGAGCCTCAGTGTCCAGATACCTGCAAAACGGATTCTTCATGAGCAACACCTCAAAAGCGACCTTCCTCAACACAATGAGCCTCACGCAAGTCATCTTTCTCATTCGCGTGTCAGCATTTGCTCGCCTTACCCTTATCAATCGGTGCAAGAGTAAAGTTTGCCGGCAATTGCAGACGCTTATCCCTCTCAGGAGCTCCACGCCCAATAGATGCGGCCATGGGGCTACTCGTCCAATACGGCTCAAACTATGGGGTGAACTCAGGCTCGAGCCACTGCGGATGCGAATTGGGCCGACTCACTTGTCCTCCAATTTCCTCCTGCCGCTCTCGATGTCCGCCGAGATGCCCTCCATTCCCCGGCTCGCCATCTGCTTCTTCTTCTCATCGCTTGCCTCCAGCTCAGCTGCGCAGCTCTCCAGCTTCTTCAAGAGAGCGCCCAACTCTTCTTCCCTGCAGGAGGCACCACAAATGCATTCAAGCTATTGCTCAAGACACGTGGCTTGAAGATAAGATTCGATCCTTGGGTCCGAGCACGCTGTCGAACGATATGCATCCATGTCGCTCAGTCTGCTGTTTCTCTTCACTTGCAGTCGAGTCGAGCCTCTTGTGGATGCAAATGACCAGGAAGCTTTGGACCCAAGATCCACAGGGGAGAAAGCAGAGAGGTGAACAGGAAACGAACGAGGCTTTTGCGCTCTAGGCAGGCAGAAAGGTAGATGACCGTCTGGGCTATGCTTCATTTCGCTCTCTCAGTGCATCAACGTCGTCCAGGTGAGCGGCTTCTTTGACACACATACTCGGCTCAAATTTACGAAATCATTTCTTCATCTTATCTTCCTTGCGGTAGAAAACATGTGAAGTAGAACGAAGACATCGCTCGCCCCAGAAAAGAAAGACGTACTAGGCTTCACAGAGGCCCCACCAACCGCGACGTCAAGCAACAGACGCACCAAGCATCCAAAAAAAACCGTTTCGTGGAAACCAAAAGTGTTCGCCATGGCTCCAGCCTCACTTTTCCTTCAGGAAGCTCGCTGCGGCCGTCAGGTGCTGCGCCCGGGCCTCCTTCAACTCTTGGACCACCTCCTTCTCCCGCTTCTCGTGGCAGCCCGTCTGCAGCACCCACGTGTCCTCCAGGAACGACTGCCACGTGGCGACCACCCCGGCCTCCGTCTTGTGCACCTCGACGGAACGGCTAAGCTCTTGTTCTGCCAGGGCGAGCTGAGCGACCAGATGACTGCTGGCCTCGTCAAACTGCTCTTTCTCCTCTTGCATGTTGATGTGCCGGTTCGTGGCCACCGCCAGCGCGGACTTGACCTGCGTGCATCATGGAAGAGGCGAATGTGGTGAGAAGGCCAAGCGAAGGATGCGCCCAAGAGAGTCGACAGTGATATTGGACAAGAAACTTCCGACAAGAGTCGGTATCCGGCTTCGACGTAAGGGCAGAAATGTAAGGCGACAACGTTATAGATAACCTCGTGGTTGACACGTATTGATCGGAGAGATGCAGAGGGCACAGCCAGGAAGTACTGGTTGCGAACAATGAACAGGTTGCTACAGGAATTCATCGTGGTGCATGATACGTGCAATACGACACGCCTACTGAGAAATGTCGGCAAGAAAGACTCGCCTCTTTGCGAGGGCAAGCTAAGCACGTACGGGCAAGGATTCTAATCGCGACAACCACAGTCCACTGCAGCAGAGAAGTCTGAAGTGCTTGGCTCTATCTCGGACGATCCATCAAAGACGTTCCCCATCGCCACAAAGCCTCTTTCCTTTGCAAGCTCTTCTGCTTCCGAAGAAATTTGCAAAGCGGGAACGTGCCCCCTCACCTCCGCCAGCTCTGCCTCCAGCTTCTCACGCCGCTGCTCCAGGCCCATCACCTCCTGGCTCAGCACTTTCTCCGCCTCCGCAACCTCCTTGGCTTTGGTGCCCCGGTACGTCACGGCCTCTGTCTTCTGCTGCTTGTTCTCCTCAATCTTCTTCTTCATGGCCGCAATGGCGGACTGGAGGGCCATCGTACGGCTGCGCATCTCCTCGACCTGGATAACGCAATACAAAGGAGGTTCTGTGAATGTGTCCAGCAGAGACACACTCTGCTAGGCTTCCGCAGTCAGTAACACCGCAGGGTAGCGTCGACTCCGCTGACGTTGTAGGCAGCAGTAGACGACGAACCGACTCGTCTTTTCGAAGTATTACCATACTTGAATAGAAAACTTTGTTTGGAACAATGTCACTTGCACAGAGCACTGCATAGCTTTCCTTAAGCTTTGTACAGGATCAGTATCCAGCAACCCTTCAACCCGTCTCCATTGCCTTCTTAAGCAGCCAAGACCACCTGCAGACAACTACGTTTCCATGATTGCAGAGGGATTCCAAAGGGTGCACGTCTGACATCTGATTATCAAGAGGGAACGTAAGGATCCACACGTTGTTGTGGCCAGCGTCGTTAGAACCCCAAGACTCCGGGATGCGACCAACATACGCGGCAGCTCACTTTCTTATCGTGCAGCTCGCTGACAGGCCCGGCTGCATCGAGTGTCGCCTTTCTCTCCAGGCAGTCCTGCAGCTTGGCCGTCAAACGATAAAGCTCGCTTGACTTCGAGTGCGCCTGAAGAGGAGCAAGGATCCAAGTGTTCAGTTCAGATGGCTCAATTCGGAGTAACGTTACAAGTGCGACTCCGCATTTGTGCCCGTTAGCATCGTCGTCTGGCGAGGACAGCGGCACAACGCAGGATCTGCTTGGTGGTGCATCTGCCTGCAATCCTTGAACTGTGAAAAATCTTGCATAGGCGGATGGAATAGCGGCCGACTGCTCCAGCTCCAGTACGATCATTGCATCCAGGAAGTCAGCACCGAGAAGCAAGATAATCAACGACTTTGGAGATAGAACCTAGACTGTCTTTCACATCAACGTATGATTGCATGCGTCTTCAGCCTTCGACGACCACATCTTCCAAATAAAACTCTCGCTAAGTCACATCCAACTGAGACAGGAATCACCGCAGGCAGCAGTGCGCTTTGTCCAGCTGGCAAGATCGAAAGGCCATCAGATAAGAAGCGGAGCACTTGCTGAGTAACTCAGTGCCAAATCTGCTGAGCCACCAGAGGAGCTTGGGAACTTGATTCTTTCCATTGACCAAGCAACCTCAGAAATAGAAGTAGCCTACCTTATTAAACTCTTGAAGGCTTCCTTGCGGATCGTCAGAGCCAGTGGCTCCGCCACTCCCATCCAACGACTGGATTCTGGTTCGCAGTTTGGCGACCTCGGCATCCAACCTGGACGCACAAGAGAATGCAAACGTTCAGAACCTTCTGAACGGATCAGCAATGGAGCAAAATTGACTATCAATAATCATGATCCTACTTCAGCATTCAATGGAGATTCCTGGTACAAGAAGCTGCACTAAGCAAACCTTTCCAGTATTGACAAAGCCAGCCGCACCGCCAATTCAGGAAAAAGCCGAGAAAGTCTGCATAACAAGCCTCGCTCACTAAGAAACCGAATCCTGCCCCAAGTGCAACCCGGTGCTCGAATTGAAAGTTCCATGGTTGAGTTTGTTTGGAGTAGGATTGAGAGCTGCTGGAACAGACATGTGACAAAGCCCGACTTTCTACAGAGCTAGAACGAGAATGTCATATCTAAACATCAACAGCTCCAAGCAGCCTCATTTTAGTATCACAATAGGGGGTGGTCGGGAGCGAATCCTGGTCGTTTTTTATGCATCCTACGCAACCCGTGGGTCGGTGCGGTTCTTTGGAGAACCCCGGCCCTCGGGGGATGCCCACCTCCTCCCCGCGGGGGGGAAAAAAAAAAAAAAAGGAAGCTTGGAAATGAAGATGAAAAAAGAACCAGAGTGCAATTCAAGTGAGAATGAAAATTGCGAGACTGCTACCGTGCAGCACCAAAGCTCCATTAGGCGCACCAACCAGCGTTGAATTCAGAACCAGAATTTTTACTCACTTTTCCGCCTCGGCACTCAACTTGAGGCCTGACACACACTCGCGAGCCATCTTCAGAAGGTCAGAGCGGGTGACGAGGACCTCCTCAGTGTATGACGCTGCGGCCTTGGAAAGGTCCTGGATGCCGCTCATGATAGCATTGTGTAATTCTGGTCCGCCAGCAAGACAAAGGCTGCAAGTAAAAGAGGCACATGACATTTGCATACTCCCAAAAAAGCTCTGGCGAGAAACGAACTGGGGTCACATTCTGCTTCCGCAGGAACTGCTTCGGACCCCCACGGATCATTCGGGCTGTCCAACCTATGACGACGAGGCCTGCCAACAACAAGGCCAGTCATGTCGGAGCAACAACTTCCAGGAAGGAGAAGTGAGCAGGACCTGAGGCCTGGGCAATCTGGTTGAACTGGTTGAGAGTCAAGACTTGCCTGAATATTTCCAAAACCGCCTGCACCTCTTCATCCTGGGGGGCCTCTTCAATCTGCAGAAGCAAGTCATGAAGCGGAAGCGATCAACGTTATGCTAAAGAGGCAATCAGGCTGTCATTGGAATCAACCGTGCAATTAACCTTGAAAGAAGGCACTTCGGACAAAACGACAATGCAATCGTAAGAGTTCAAGAGCTGGTGATCTGCACATGACCGCCTCAATGGTCACTTTCTGGCCGACCCTGCCCAACCCGGTCGCAAGGACCTTAGTATGCACAGATCAAATCAACTTAGAAGCTGCTATGATGGCTTACAAAGGATGTCACGAGATTCTCCAATGCCAGGCTCCTCAAGAACACGTCTCTGAAGGTCATAGGGGCATCACTGATATCCGCATCGAAAAAGAGTACCTGCAAGAAAGGGGAGCGTCATTGTCAAATACAGAACTACAAACCGGTGGATGTGCATCATAACAATCTAAGTAAGTTGGAAGCTGGTGGAAAGTGCCACTTGGTTGTTGACCTTGCCAATGAGACTTCAGGTTTTTTCTACACTAATTTCTACAGCTGTTTTGCTGCGGGTTGCAACCTCGACAAGCACACAACAATTGATTCTACTTACAACTCGTTCAAAAGCAGACCCACCAAGTTGGAGCGATGGACACCCTCTTCTGTTTCGCTCTTGGGGGTTTTTGGGGAGTCCGGGGCCTCCCCTCCCGCTGGCTCTCTGTGCAGATCTCTGAGACCTCCTCCAGTCTCTGCAACTTTCTGAAGGTCGCGCAATGCCCCTAGCCACCTTGTTACTGCCTGTAGGCGCTCCTCGCCTCTAGCGTGGAGTGCAACGTCCTCCAGCCGCCTTACAGCGGACTTGAAGTTGCTGTAGGGTTTCCCACTCTGGAAGAAGGGACGAGCGGTTGCACATAAGGCAATTGTAGATGCTTCATGATTATGTGTCGCTTGCAAGACCTTCCCCTATGCACTCCATCCACTTTCAAGCAGGAAAATCACGACCAGTTGGTGCAGGTTGGTGGTTGGAAGAACCTCAAGTCGTACACCTTCTAAAATAAGGTTCCGAGCAAGCACAAGCGCGGCAGTACTTGGAGGCTCGGTGCAGTTATCCTGATGCATAGACAATGGTTTTGTATCAACTCGCAATTGGGTGCGCAGTTTCTGCAGGATGATCGACTGTTGAAAACATAGTTTGATGCAGAAAAGTTCTCAAAGAGGATGGAGAGCAGGAACTATGGAACAAACAATCCTGCTGAGCCCTGTCTTTCTTGCAATTTTGACAAGAGCACATTCACGAGGAATCAATGAAGGATGAGCCATTCGCCCCTGAAACCCTAAAATGAAGCTTACGGACCAGATTGTTCTGCATGAACCGGGCCCCTCTATCCATCGCAATTCCCGCCACCTTCTGAAGGTTCTGGAGATTCCTCCCCAGCCCCGTCTTGGTGCTCACTTCCGCTGCCCTGTTGAAGGCAGAGCGCAACCACGTCGACATGTTTGCTGACCAAGGGAGCTCAAGATTTGCAGATCAAGCTTAAGCATGAGCGTCTATAGGTGTGCTTGATTCAGCTTATTCCTTCTAAAAACTGCTTCTCCTACAAGGACTTGCAGTTATCCTGCATTTCAATGCCTGCATTGTCGTGTGTAACCACCACGACGTCCTCCATCAAAGCCGGATTGGGCCTCTGCAATGCTCTAGATATAATTCTGAAGACTGACGACGAGGTTGAGTCACGATCTCCAAATTCTCTAGGCTGCCTGCAGTGGGGTATTTAAAACTAGGTAGGTACCGTAGTGAACTGTTTAGGTATTAGGGTACCGTCATTTTGAAGCTGGTACCCCCCCATTCTTTTATAGGCGGTACCCGTTAGAGGCTTGACTCAACAGTTTCAGCCGCCCCGGGGGGGTGGCTAAAGGTGAGTCCGAGCTCTCAGGCGGGGAGGGGGGGGGGCTTGAGGCTTGGGCCGAAGGCCGAAGCACAGGCGCTTGATTGGTCAAATAGCCATGCATAATCATCAAAATCTGTAACGAGATGGAATCAATACGACCAGAAAGTGGGCTTCTTGTCTTCCACCGATGCACAGTTGGTTTGAGAAGATGCAGAAAACAGTGCATGAGCGTGCCCAATTAGGTACCGGTATGCATCTCCTTTTGAATCAAATTCTCAAAATGTTCCACTTAAAAAGCGGGATAAAATGCGAAATTTTGGCTCTGGGGCCCGAAGAAGTTCTGTGACTGACAAGCCAGGGGGGGGGGGGGGCTTGGGGCTTGGTCGCCCGAAGGAGGCCACCAGGGGGTCCTGGAAAGGTGGCTTCGAAAAAAGTGGTCAATCTAAGAATGGGGGGGTACCACTTACAAAATGACGATACTAGGCACACTCTAGCTACAGCTTCTCTCGACCAAAGTGCAACAAGACAATTCTCAGGAAATCCGGGGGAAATCCATCCCCGGGCAGAAAGTCCTGAGGAAAGGAAGGCCCTGTCCAGATGCCTGTCCACTTTGCGCGGGGGGAAAACGCCCGTAGTCCTAGTACTTACAGAGAAGAAGTTTGTCGCCACCTCATGTCCAAGGTGGCCGGGCGACACGAGGTGGCGACAAACTTCAATTGTCCGAAAATATCGATTCTTAGCAACTCGTCGAGAGCATGTACTATCCTAGCTCAGTCTTCAAAGTTCAAACGGCCTCTGAGGACTCTGAGAGTCACAGCTTGAAGTCTGAGGGCTCAGTTGGGTCCCGGAAAGCATCTTTAACCTGCGGAATGAGGTTGGGCACCTATTTGGCAGATCGGCATCAGGTCACTTTCAATTGATGGCTGCATCGAAAGCTGGCCCAAGCAAGTTGTGTTTTATTGCTTTGTATCAGACTTCTATCGGACTGGCCCGAGCAAAGCTGCAAAAGCTCTCGACGTGCGACCTGCAATCATTAGCTTGTCGCTTGTATCTTACGTGACATGTAAACAAGGACGCTACTAGTTCTAGATTGGACAGTTTAGTTTATCAATTTATTTGTTCATATGCTTCTACTTGTGCTGGCTTTCATGCTACATGGTCACGATGTAGAAAATGTCCGCGTTTTCCTCCGCCGTGCCGCGCCGGCGGCGGCGCGAGACGGCCGAACATTCTGCCATCGGCTGCGAGGCCAGGCAACAAGCTAGAAGTGCTCTTCAAGTGAAGACCATTTTTCATGTTATGACAAGTTTGCCGATGTTGACTTAATCATGTCCCGAGCAGCTGAG